TTCTATGTGGTAGGTGGTGTTTCATGCATGAAGAGTAGTTGATGATTATATATATGTACGTATATGGTTGACCTACATATGTTGTTGATCCACATGGCGTGCCATAAGGAATGGAAGACTATTTACGTTTCAAGAACAGGGTTGACCGGCTCTTCACTGAGCAGGTATTTAAGTTGGAAGGACGCAGTATCTGATCTGAGAAAACAAGTGGAATAGTCATTCTCTGCAAAACGTTGCAATGCATTTTTTGTCGACGTTTTCATTTTCTAGATTCGACGTCGAATAAGAAAAAACATGAGGAATAGGTTGGTCACTTCCACCCGTATATATGTCTAATATTATCACAAGATCCATATAAGTACTTAGTCCATACTTATATTCTTATTTGTTTATAAATAATATGAAGAATACCTATTTATAACACTCTCATAGTTTAATTAAAATAAACTATGTATTCGTGATATTGGATATGAATAATAAGAAATACTACTGTGTGTGTGTGTGTGTGATATTATGGTATTATGGTATTTTATGGTATAATAAAATATTTGATATTATGGTATTTTACACATTTATCTAAAATATATATCATTTCAAATAATTAAACTCCTTCATACACACAAAATATAAGAAAATATTTTGGTTAAGATATGAGAAAATAAATATTCTTAAATTACACTCTAGAGTGAGAGATCTAAACAGGATGAAAAAAAAAATGTGTGAGAAACTATTCAGGATCTATATGAGGTGTATAAGTTTGTGCTTGAGTTGAAATTATATTTATAATTGATTTGACATAGTTAAGAATTTATATTTTTATGGATATAAACAAGGAGTATTTATCCTGATCTTCTGTCAACTTTTTAGTTTATTCTTTCATTTTTAATTTTTATGATTTTTTTTCTTGGTTTTGAAATTTTTACTTCGTCGATAATCCATAATATCTTAATTTGCTTCCACAAATTTAGGGAATAGGATAACTTTGCCCCTTAGATTTAACATAGCATTTATTGAAATTATTGAGTTTTTCTGTATAAACTCTTAAAAACTAAACTTAACCACTTAGAATGTGTTTAGAAATATATTTTTATTTTTAATATGAATTTAGATAAAGAGGTGTGAATAAATATGTTGTTGTGGAATGCCTGAGTGTTTAGTAAATAATAGATGAAAACTATATTTTAAATATGTATCGATGTAAATGCTATTTAGTAAAATTATATTTCAAAAACTCACTGAATATTTTAAATTATATGATAAAGTTACCCTTATATAATTTTTATATTTATTTAAAAATAAATGCATATTTTTATTTAAATTAATCAGTAAATAAATAAAAAATTAATATATGTAATCTTACAAAAATAATTTCGTGTGGTCCAAATATATAATAAATAAAAAATATAATCATAAATTATGTTGGTTTTGATGACGGTAAAAATCAAGAGAAGAGGAGAGGAAATGAAAATTACAGTTTCTATTGTACAATGATAATCTTATGATTTTAAAGAATGATATAGAATACTTTAAAATTTTTAATATAGTATCCAAGCCAAATATGATTTAAAAAAAATATATTAAATATTAATTTACATTTGAAATATGTATTGGGTTATTTGAATCAATATATATTTGAAATGTATTCCCAAACATAACCTACCTATTGTGATTAGCCTTAGCTAATTTGAATCAATATTTTCTTTAAAAAATAAAATACCTAAAATATGACTTTTAGTTTTTTTTTTTTTTGAAAAAAGTATAACTATATTAGAAACTAAGTATGAGAGTACAAAATACTTGTGAGGTCATTATAACTATGCAAATCACCATTCCAAGTACCAAAAAAAAAACCCCCTTCAACTCTTACAAAACAAGCTAGAGAATGTATCTCCCTATTACATTCTCTATACAAAAAAAACCACAGTTCTATTGAGAATCTCACGGTTTGTAGGGAGTTTAATCGGATCTATATATTTCTAAAGCCACTATCAGCAGCATACTGAGGGACTTCCAAGATTACCTCTCGTTCTACTGATAAGACTAAGTTAACTTTCATTGTTTTGCACCCCGCAGCCATCAAATTCACCTGCTTGTCTTTGAGGATGAATCCCAACCCTACATTGTCATTAGCACTCAGGAAAGATACCTCAGTTTCAATAGAAAATTCAAACTTGAAAGGGCGACACATGAAATCTTGTTGGATCTGGTGTTCCTCATCTACCTTAGGTCAGTGTATGACATTCACATCATCATTAGTTAGAACAAGCATCTTACACCGTAGTGACATAACTTAGAACCCTATGATTACGAAAATGACAATTGTTCCAATGCTTCCATAGGATCCATAATGACATTTAGTCTTGTTATGATGATTTTTAAAGAATATTAATGCTGAAAACAAACCTAACCACAAGCACGCAAGCACACACACACATATACATATACATATATATATATACATATACATAAAGTTAGAGAAATAAAAAATATAATTTCCCTACAAAAGATCCTAAGTACCCCTAATTTTAAAAAAGAACCAAAATACCCCTAATCAATTCTTCTCGTCAAAACTTTTTACTAATGTTTTTTATCAGTTTTGAATTACTAGTGTTTTTTTTATTTTGGCTCATTTATAATATTTTTCAATAGCATTCATATTATTTTTATTGAGGTGTTGAAAACACTAAAAAGTTATTGAAAAATACTATAATTAACATTATATTGTATCTCTTTAGTCGTTATTGCTCGTAGACCATTACGATACCATTTTTTAAACTTGTAATTGTTCTCATTGAAGTTAGGAGTCTATTTGGATCATTTATAATATATTTATTGTGATTATCAAAATATTATATTTTTTTTATTTGAGTGATGTTGTTCCTAAATTATATAAATATCTATTTGAATCTAGTATGATATATCAAAAGGTTTTTGATGTGTTTTGATTCTATTTTGCTAGCTTATAGTGTCTCATAATAATGTTATAGTATTTTTTAAATATACTAAAAATAATATAAAGTTATTGAAAAGCACTATAGGTAATGTCATATTATGTCTCTTTGATTATATTATTTATATATCATTATAATATTAAAATTTTATACTTGAAGTTAATTTGATTGATGCTATGAGCCCATTTGTATCAGTTACAATGTTTTCAAATATATTTTACTATATATTTTTATTATAGTAGCCAAAATACTATAACATATCAAAATAGTATAACAACCTAAAATATTATAACGAGAGAGAAAAGTATGATCAACTTTTTGAGGGATAATTTGGATATTTTAAATTAAGAATACTATTTAAAAAAATCAAAAGAAATATTTTTTAACAAATGAAAAGAAATTTTTAGAAAAAAAATTATATAATAAAAATTCAAATAATTTATAAGAATGTATATAATATAATATAATACAATCAATGATGACGAGAAGAGAGGACAGATGACGGACAAAAGCTTTCAGCGTCAATGTCGGGCAGCGGTGGTGCGGTCGCCGTCATACACGGGCAGTGGCGGTGTAGTCACCGTCAAACACGAGGAGCTTTGTCCGCTGTCCCCAATCATAAAGCCATGGAGTGCTTTCATTTCATGATCTCCTTCTTCCTCTCTCTCGCTCTCTCTCTCTCTCTCGTGCCTCGGCTGCCGCGCCTTCGCTCGACTCCCGCTGTCCCTCTTTCTCTCTCTCGCGCGCGCGGGACCCGCCGCCTCTTTCTCCCTCCTCTCCGGTCCTTTTTCCACTTCCCATACACGTCCTTTTCCCGATCGCCTCTGTTATGCATGGCTGTCCTCTCTTTCTCACTAATACTGTAGCTCCTTTCTGCCGTGGCGTAGGCTGAAGCTGGTAATGAACAGTCGGGATAGTACAGTCCTCATAGTTCCTGTTGTGGATTACCAGTATCTTTTTTCTTCCTCTTGTCTTGTTGTATTAGATGAGATGTTCTTATTAATACTTTGTGTTCTATGTGCTTAACATTTGCTGATTCAATCAATCCTCCTTGTTCAAAATAAACTGGAGGCAAGAATTTACTGATGTATTACTGACTATTTTGAAGCAAATCAATGAGACTGGAAGCCAATGGTTTCATGGAATTAGATTATCGTAACAATTTCCTACATAATATGTGGAAATATTATGAGTTTATCTTGTAGGATGATTAATGCAATATTCATTCTTTAGGTTTTTGTTCAAAGGATTTATTATCCATCTTATTCATGTTTAGTTTGTCAACTTTCATAGTTAGCTATTCTCATCCTCTTTATCTCTTTTTACACCATCAGTTTGAAAGATAAGATCTTTGTCTGCAGCCATCTTAACAAATCAGAGTTGTCATTAGAAAAATAAGAACTTACATAGACATTACTTAGGGATATCTTTATAGTTGAGACTAAAGATTGTAGACTATGGGTAGTCTTTTGGAACAATAATCTAAAGATATCAAGTTAAAGCTTTGGAGTGATAAATTGGGAACACATCATTATGAAACTTTAGCACAATATATTTTTTGTTTGAAATACTAAAATCATGGATCAACTTGATTATTTCTTAACCTTAAAAGAGTGGAAAAGCAATGTTGTAGGTCATATATTTATGTTAATCTAATTTATTATTTTTTATCTTAAAGACTAATCATCCTCTTAGTTTGATTCGTGCTAGAAATTAAGCTGCATAGGAATTCAAACCTACTCACTTTGATTCCATTCAAGCTCTAAATTAAATTCCACATATATGATGTTTTAGCACCTCTCAAGCATTTCTCTTTGATCTTTATTTTGGCACTGGATTACTTCCTGTGACATATGAGAGCACCTTCTAAGAGCCATAGATAGTGACATCTGTTCTCATTCATCTGAAAAACTAATCTAGAACTTGAATTTATATGCATTTATGCACTTAACCTTATATATAAACATGTTCTTTACTGAATGAGTCTTACAGGCTCTTATTGGTGAACAACCTGTAAATTAAGCAGATAGAGAATAGTGGATCCTTTCCTTCATAGAGAGAGAAGACCAGCAATATAATGATGCTGATATACCTACGAATCCCATTCATGCTTGTGCAACTAGCTTCTTCTAAGAACTCTCACAGAATGATATGATGGCATTCTTGTGAGAGAATACCCGTACATGTTACAAGAATCTGCTTTGCAGAACTAAGACATGCAAGATGGTAAATGTATCGACACTACAAGTCTCTTGCAATGATATGAGATGCTTAGCTTCATGATTGCCTTCTCTCTTTCTTGGGAAGCTGTAAAGAGAAGGCGTGCACATGCATGGAAGGCACCAACTCAGGCAATTTGAGTCACTGATTGAGGCTTCAAGTCTCTGTGGAACTTTGCCTCAATCTTTCTCCTTTATGGCTGTCTTCTTTTCTTTCTTGCTTTCTTCCTTTTTCTTTCTCCACGATCAGTGAGGCCTACCCAGGGTGATCTCAAGGTTAAGCCTGCTTTGGCTTGTTGTCCCCGAGAGGCAAGGTGAGTTCAAGTCACGATACATTTCAAATCTCTCGGATGGCATCTCCTGCAGAAGAAAGAAAGGAGCTCATGGTTGTAGTGAAAAGAGGCAGGTTAATAATACTGGATCCCAGCTGTGTCTGATACCTTGAAGGACTCCATGCTTCCATTGGTGGTGGAATCACTCACCAAGTCATCAGAAAAGCTTCCCCAGCTGTCCAAGCCACCACAGAATTCCATGCATCAAAATAGTGTCGCAATACACAAGGTTAACCTACTCAAGTACAAGAACAGATTACTGCACCATAATGGGAACCATGATGGAGGTTCAGATGTTGACTAGATCCTGGACATATGCAACAGTGTTCCTCGCTTTTCTGAGCACTTTGCATAAGTTTAATGGTGTGAAGTCAAAAAATGTCGGAAGAGAGCTTCTACAGGACACATAACGTTGACAGCTTCTAGGAAGTAGCAACTATCAAGTGGCAGAAACTTTGTTGGTTCTATCAATGTGTTCTCTCTGAGCATGGCTAGTTATGTCACCCTAGCAGCATGAGCACCAGAGAGGTTCAACTTCAATGTACAAGAATCCAAAAATCTCTCTGGGTTTCTTAAACTGTTACACTTGTTGTCTTCCCTATGTACATTCTGGAACTCAAAATTGAAAAGAAATAGGGTACTCAACTTAATACTGTTCTGGTCCTATTTCTTATCACCCAAGTTGGTTTCTTGCCATTCTTCAGCATCTGACTCTTGGTATCTGCAGCTTTATTACCTATATCAAGAGCAAGTAGATCTAACAGGAACTTGGGTTGATGCATTCTCAGCTTTAACCAGTGACTTAATACAAATTACTTTGTGGAGTTGTAGTTGAAAGGACAGCATTGTTAGTCACATACAGGCATTTTTGAGTTGTATTTTCTCACTGCTTTATCAAGAAAAGAAAGCATTCAACCAGTTAGACATCAATGACACCAAGTGTTTAGACCCTCTCTCACCATCTACATATAGGCAATTAGGAATCTGGACAAGTAAGAAACATAATGGTTTGGGAGAGAAGTAGACATCTAGAAGAAATGTCAAGCCTCTTGTACTGGAGGCTTAAGTTCTTCTTTGCAAAATCTTTTTTTTTTACTTGGTTTTAGTGTCACATAAAAAAAGGGTAAAATTGGGTAATAATTTAATACAATATATCCTTTGACAATTTATGTAAAATTGATATTCATTTTGGTAATTTTTGGAAAAGAGAAGCTTATTTTGTACATCAATAAAGGAGTATAACTAATATTAAAAAGTTACACCACAAGTCCTTGAACTTTCAAACAAATTTAGATCGGCCGGTGAATTATAATTTGTTTTAGTGAACTTCAAAATTCATGTTAGTAAACCTTTTTAAGTATTCCAAGATCAAGCACACTAATTATTTATGAAAGTAAAACCTTGATTCATCAACACCAAAGTAGAACAAGCTTTAATTCCTTATTTGGATCCCATCTAACTAGGCTTAAAAAGGTTCCAGACAGCAAATTGTAGACCTTTGGAGTGCTTTTAAAAATATATGCCATGTGTGATATGATAAAATTATATTGATGCAAAAAAGATGTTATAAACTAACTAAAATTTCTGAATATTTGATACTTTCAACCAAGCACTAGTAGTTTGCAAGGACAAAAGCAATAGACATGGTTATCCAGACATTTTAAGCTCTAGTTACTGATACAATTGTTAATATTGGCAGGAAAGCCTACAGGGACAAAAAATCATAAGAGAGCTGTTGTTTTAATATTTTATATGACCTTTTTCCTGTTCTGTATATATTTATACTTATGTGCATGATCATTTATTGCTTTTAGTTTGAATGAAAAATGGAAGTTGTGTGGTAGAGTTATTCTCTGCTGGATTCACAATGTAGAGTGTTGTGGCATCCAACATCTGTTATGCAAATCAATGGAGCATATGAAATGAAAGTAGTTGCTGATTTCATACTTCCCTACTCAATGACCTTAAGAATCCTTATATATATATTCTTTCACATGGCTTTGTTTTCTTGTTATAAAATAATAGTCTGACAAGCATTATTCAAATGAATATTTGGCTTCAGAGTTTACTTGTGAAGTGAAGAATGATTATTCAAATGACTTTGGCAAGCACCATTTTTTTCTTCAGTAGTAAACCTCATTTTATTTACCTTTGTTTATAAGCATTTGGCATACAAACTATTGTGGAGAAGGATATTTTCACCTGGAAGAATGGCCCCATTGATTGATTCCATGATGTGCATCAGGTCTCCCGTTATGAGTTGACGATTCTGAATTCTGCAGATTATGAACTTCTACCAAATTATCATCTGAAACTTCTCCGAATGATCGATTCTCGAAACCATCAGATTGAACTACAAAACACAAAAAGTAATAATCGACATATTATTTGGTAAGCGATTTTACAGTCTTTGGAAGCAAACTGGAAGGACTTAAAACAAAGCTACCTGCTGAAGGATTTGTTGGTCTATCAGTTGTCTTCACGCTCCTATACATCTGCAAATGCATATCATTTCTTTGAGAAACTTTAGAACACTAGCTAGTACAGCACATCTCATCTTGGCTTTGATTCCTGGCTACATGCCTTAAATCTGAAGCTAACTAAAACATCATCAATCTATTGTAGAGGATATATATATACATCAAATGGATAAAACATTGAAGTATTTGTTAGAATATGGTGTGTGTGTGTGTGTGTGTGTGTGTATGTTGCGATGTGTTTATCATTTTATAACAGTGGCTTGCTTTTGCAAGCAAGTAAAACTGAGATGCTTAAAAATGGCAAAAAGGAAAAGAAAAGCTTAGACAACACTCAACCTTAAGGCAAGAAGGATTAAAGGAAAACATTCCTTTGCAGTGCAAGCCAAATGGCCATTTTAGGTTTCCAGACACAGGGAGATCCTTTACCTGTAAGTGAGATTTCACGTGAGCCAGTGTGAGATCTTTGACATCCATTAGCTCAAGAACTGACTTGGGTGTAGCCCCTGAGCTCAAAAGTTGAAGACGAAGTTACGATTGGGAAGTAGGAACAACACGTTCACCTAAATCATCTATGTATGATCGAAGCATATGTATATACTGAGATAAGAAAATGAGAATTGTAAGCCGTACTTTCATGGCCTCCCAAGAGCTCCACAGCATGCACAAAGCGGGCGTGGAGTGCGCTTGTCCACCGCATCCGTGGACCTCTCATGCTCCTTTTTATGGGGAACCTCGACGGCAAGTACCTTGATCTTGACAGGCCTTGTGTTGTCGCAAAGTGATTGAACTCAGTAGAGGGAGAAGAGTCACACAGAAGCTGCTGCTGCTGATATGGTGGCATCAAAGGCGAGGTGGGCGGGTTTTGGTACACAGGAATTCCCCTTATGGGCCTCAGCAAGCTAAGATCTTGGTGGTACCCTTGATGCAGCAGAGGATGGTGGTGATGGTGGTGGTGGAAGTGGAGGTGGTGGTGATGGTGGTGGGGTAGGGGGTGTAGTAGCAGAGTGGTGTTACTTGTGGTGGTGGAGACAGCGGTGCTTCGAGCAGCTAAAGAGACCTCAGAGGTGTTGCTCTCGGCCTTCTCCATTAAGGCTGTCGTGATACTGTTGCTCCTCAGGAACCCTAAGTCCATGTCTTCATCTGGCTTTCTCCAACCTGATGCCGGTGTCATGTCTGGGGGGCTGATCTGAAGCGATAGATCAGGTTGTGATGAAAAGAGCTCCATCTCTCAGCCAACTTGGGACCTCTTCTTGTTCTGTCTCTTCCTCAATTATTGTCTTGCTTTCTTCTGGTAAAGCTCTTCCCTTCTCCTCTGATCAGTCTTTTGGGAGAGAGAGAGAACTGTACTTTTGGATCCATAAGTGTCTTGCTGTTTTTTACTGTGGAAATGATTACATGGTTATGGTAGCAGTATGTGATATAAAGGAGTTGCATGGAGTTAACATGGAGAGTAAAACTTGAAGTAAATATGTGAGGTGTGTAGGGACAAAAGTAGTTTCTTGGGTTTCATGGATAGTATGTTCTGTAGACTGATGCCACTTGATGCCCATATGAGTATTAGCTAGAGAGGGAGTGAGAGTGAGAAAGAGGCTCAGATTCCTCTTGTTATCAATATGCTTTCTCTGAGTAAAAGTGGTATCTCAGCTGCAACTTGATGTTGCGTTCACTGACTCACCATGGCTTTTCTCTTTCCCCGCAAAACAAGATCACTCACTACATTAGTAAAAGTCAATAAAAGTTACAAGATTGACGAGAAGGTATGCAGTACGATTAGCTTTTCTAAGCAAAAGAGAAAATTCAGGACTGTTGATCTCATCGATCGATCATAAATATTAGCAAAAAGAGATGACTTTAGACCCATCAGCAAAAAGAATATAGTCTTTTGAGTCAGATCTAATCAAAGTATACCTATCAGTAGATTTTTTTTTTGGCAGGTCACCCATGGGTCTAAAGATTGAGGATTTTTACACATTCCAAGAACATTAAGTGTTTAAGGACTAAAATTTCAAATTCGATTATTGGTTTGACCCAGGTTGAGTTCAATGTTAGTGGGTAAAGCTGCTTGAGTCCCCAAATTGGGATTATGACTAACTAGGCCATAATCAAAGGAGATGTTCTTGAAGGCAATAGATTAAAAAACTTAGGAGTCTTCAATCTTGACCCAAATCCCTTGAGGAAGTGATTTTGAGAAATCTAATAGAACACAAATCCCACCAAACTTACTTTATCTAATAGTTTGACAATTGGCTCATGTTATCCGGTAAGAAATGATCATGTCAGTTAGTAATTTTCTTTGAATATATTTTATTTAAAGGATATTTTATCTCTTTCTTAAAATATTAATTAAAACTCTAGAATGAAACTATTAACAAAAGGATATTTATTATCTACAGCAAATTATTTCCCTTATATTATCTTCCTTCAAAAAATTATTCTAATAGCTCTGTTTTAAAGTATGGTGGTGTTGGTACACTTAACAAAATGATTGATCCATAAAACAACATATCAAAGAATTAATGTCCCATGATAAATCTAGTATCATATTCCTTGTAATTTTATATTACACTTGGGCTGGAGAAAAAAGAGTATGTATATTAAAGAAGACAACTTGCAATCAAGAATGAGTATAGTAGATTCCATTTGCTATCTAGAGAGAGCACAGTCAAGAAGACAACTTGCAATCAAGAAGACAGAATCCATTTAATATTTGCCAAAAACACACAAAGGTTTATTTGTTATCTTCTTTAATTCTGCTGCTTGCATAGTACATTTTGTTCCTTTGTACTCTTCATATAGGACCTACATTTGAATCAAATGCTATCACCAATCCTCATTATGACAAATTCCTGATCACATGAAGAATGAGCAGGAGTCATTTCTCTGAACATAGGGGTAAGAACCTGCTGTCAGCCAAATAAAATGATGTAGAAAATGTGAGAAGAAAAATCAAAGACTATGATCACATGATTAAAACTAGTAGCTTGACCGACACTATGTGACACAAACATGCTGTTGTTTTATCATGAGAATGATGTTGCTACCAGGAAGGACTGTCTGATGGCAGCTAGGTGGTCCACAAATAAAGATGGTTCATTACTTGTTTTATCACACTCTTTCTTCCCCACTGCATTATTGTATTAATTGAAACATCTGTAGATGTAAGTATATCTAGTGGGGAATTCCCTTTTGGTAGTAGTTTTGTCACTGTTAAGAGATTTCCTTTGTTAGGAAGGAACAGAAGAACCTTGATGCCAATACCCACAGATGTAGAAGCTAAATATATGATGGCTGCATCATGCCCTTCTTCCAATATTTATTTCTATCTTAATTTCTTTTTCTTTGTAAATATTCTTTTGCCCTTTGCTTAAAGATTGAGATATGAGAGATCAACAATGACATAATCCTGAAGTTAGCATGGAACCCCAATGGAGAAAAGGCAATACATATTGATAAAGAGCTATCTATACCTTCATCAGATAAATCTATTCAGACTTCCACAGCATAGTTAATGAGACAATATCTGAAGTCTACACCTGTGTGTTTGTGCTACTGTGAACTGTTGAGTGGTAATACAGAAGTGATGTCTTATCCTGATGAGCATTTTCTCAATCTCTCTATGTTCATTGCATGAATGGGAGTTTCCTATTAACTAGTTATAGACAATTTCCAGCTCTTCTTAGGGCATTAGGTGAATGATAATTTATGTTTAAGAGGGCAGGTGGCATCTGATGTCTTTGGAAAGACCCAAAACAAAAGGATGCCAAGTTGAGCCTGGAACTGTAATATTTGATTGCATCCTTACCTGCTAATGAATTAGTATGAAGTTTGCATTAAGAAGATCACTTTCCTGTTAATGAAATCTACTATATCTTCCATATTTTTGGTACATAATCCTGAACTCAGAGGAAAGTTTGTCAGTAGACCAGCTTTTCCATGGCCAAACCGTGGGAGAATAGTGTTTCCTATTCATATCAGCCAGTGTGACCTGCAGTTTTTGTTTGGCAAATGACAAAATTCTATATATAAATGTGTATAGGCAAACAAAGAAGTCTGTACAAAGTAAAAGCCCACAAACGCTCAGAATTCACAGACATACAAACATAAAGCTCCAAAAAATTACTGAGAGAAGAGAACAAAACACATCAAAACAAGTGTTGCTGTAATCTGCTAAATGCAGCTTCTCTCATGCAACAAACAGCAGCATCTCATCTCTTCGCTGGTTCTTGTCAATGTGATTACTTTGTTCAATCCAAAAAATGTACAGAAGAAGCTGCAAACAGCGTAATCTCTGCTGCAATGATCATATGATCTATTATTCTATGGCAGTAGAAGATCTATGCTGAAATGGTCATATAACTGCCTTGAGTACTGTGCATAAGAAATTTTCCTTTGTATGCTTCATTGAGATGCTCACTTTATCTATTCTAAGGGATTGTCTGACTGAATCACAGGTAAATGAATCTAATCATAATGGCTGGCACACATACAATACATATAGTGAATTTTATGATTTCTATGAACAAAAAAGTAGCAGAAATATGTACATACTCATCTATTATATTATTAAGCAGAACAACAGTTACCTCTAAGTTACAAAAATTCTCTAAAATCTTAAATGATTAAGATTTTGACACATGACAGCTTATTTTGATTAAGGTTTTAATTAAATGATTAATATCATGTAGCAACAATGCAGGCATTGTTTGTGTGTAACACTAGCTATTTAATATTCAAGTACAGACATTGAACTAAATATTTACAGACTCAGAAAAGACAGAATTCCCCTGTGATGGACAAAGGGAAGATGGGAGGGAACATGCAACACCATCTAGGCATCTGCCACCTTTTCCACCTCAAGAGTTGTGTGTACTTTTCAGCTGGCTTTGATACTATTCTAAGTTGTCTTTGCCTAAACAGAGCATTTAATATTGTTGTCTTTTCTTACTCATCATTTCTGTGTGTATGCAGGTGATCCATCCAAAAGCCAAGAGGGCATCGAATTTGAGGAACTACATTTGTACTACTTGTGGACAATCATACTGTGGAATCCCACTGTATACACCTTATTCACAGATTAGGCATTGGGAATAGGCAACTTGATGCTACTTTGATGAGTGCTAACTTCAAAAAGACAAGCTAGATTGCTGATTTGGATCAATGCTTGCCAGCACCAATGGCATTGTCATGCTGTGTTTTGGAGTACCTGTCATTTTTCCATGGAAAAGGAGTAAAGGGAGAGGGAATTCACACCCATTAGCAATTTGATTAAGAGTTTAGGTACTCAGTAATCAACCTTCTATATGAGCTTCATAATTGATTTTTTTAAGCCTTTAATTGCTGACATTATCGTTAAAGAAACTAATAATTACTGTTTTCTTGGCTCATTTTTAACTGCCAAAAGTGATAACCATGTATGGCAACCAATGATTCTTCATGAAACATTTTCTTTAAAATATCTCAGTTAAAATCTAATATGCTTTTTATTTAACCAATCAATTTATCAGAATCTTAATCAAATATACAATAACTCATGGGCAATTTTAAAAAAAATCTTCTTTTTTTTTTTCAATTAATATTTTTTTATTATTTATTTTCATATAATACCTATTATTTTCTAAAAATCAAAATTGTCTTTGGCCTTTGCTTCTTTAGGTCGTCACCCCACTACCTCCACCTCTCCTTTATTGCCTTCACCCCTCATTCATCATCTTTATCTTTTGTTCATGGTCTTCACTTTCGTTTGTCATCTCTACCCCATTGCCCTCACATGCACTCTCTCTGTATCTTCTTCTCCTTCATGTGTCCTTCCCTCTTTCGAATCATGGTACCATCAACTACCCTCATCGAGGTGATAATCATAGATGGAGAGAGAAGGGGAGATGAGGGCAATTGTGACTATGAAAATGGAGAAGAAAATATTATAGGAAGAAACGAAGGGAGGCGAGGGCGATTAGGCATAAGTGACGAAAGCAATAGACAATGAAGAGGGGTGATGATAATAAAGAGGAAAATGTCAGAGAAATAGGAGAAGAGATGTGAGAATAAAGGAGAAAAAGTGGAGAAAATACGAAAATAGGTAACAAGACAATGGGCGATGACGACGATAGAAAGAAAAAAGTCAAAGAAAGAGAAGACGAGAGATGTTGGAGAAAAAATGAATAAGAGATGAGGGTGGAAAAAGATGAGAGATGAGGCAAGGGCTAAGAGGTGGAGGTAATCATAATGGGTAGAGGCTATAGGTAATTTAAATTTTATCTTTTAATTAAAAAGTCAAAATATCAGATTTCTTTAATGAAAGGCCTCAAGGTGACATATTATATTTTTTCCCTCTAGGAACTAAA